CACAAAGTCACATGTAATTGCATATTCTGAATGTTTTCCAATGGCTAATTCTTTGGTACTAATCAGAGTAATTACTGAGCAAAGTAAACAGTTGCCTTCCTACTTCAGTTTGGAAAGCCAAGAAGTTTCTGACACACCAATAAAACATTTACAAAAACATTGAAATCATTAAATTATCAAGGAATAGTTCCAAAAAATTGTATTTAGTCATTACTATGATTTTGATATTACCTATTTATGCCCAGGAAATATATTCTCTATTAAAAGGAATCTCCAGAGAAGAAAGGATAAAAATTTTGCCAACAACTACATTCTCTACCCAAAACTCAGTTTCTCTGAAAATTCTCAGAATAATGACAATGTATTTTCTCCTATGTGCGCAATTCATCCTAAAATCCCCAGTTTATGGCTTCACTTTAGTTTTTGAAATTATGGTTTTCCTTCAAGTCTAGTGGTATTTTCATTCAAATAAAGAAAATTAAAGTATATATAAAAATTAGCTAACAAGAGAAGTGAAATTAAAAGCATCCAGAAAACAAGAAATGTCACAGAAATCACATAAAATGAAAGCATATATGGGATTTTTACACAGCTATAGAAGCACAAATAGGGTAAACATCATTTCTAAGGATTGAAGCTAATTGATTTGGATTTGAGTTGGTATAGGAAGAGAGTGCTGCATAAGTAAAAGGAACTTGAATATGAATATATGCCCTCCAGATGCTTGTTAGAGACATGTTCCTGGTCCCTAAGAGAGCATGTTTAGAAGAGATGAGCTCTCACAAATGGCCATGTTTTAGTCAGGGGTGGAGACAGTGGTGATAGTGGCATGTATGTTGCACTAAGAAATAAAAAATTAAAAAGTGAACTCTAGGAGTGGATTGATTGTAAAGGACCATGTCACCAAACTCTTGACCTGAGTTTGTCCCTCCAGGCTGACACAGTAGGTAAAAGGAACTGAAGAACTGACATCCACACATTGTCTTTGACATCCACATTTATGCTGTGGAATGTGCCCACCTGCCAATACACACACAAAAAAATAAATAAATAAATAAATAAATAAATAAATAAATAAATAAATAAATAAAGGTAAATTATTTTTTTGAAGAAGTAACTATATTAAATAAATTTGAGAGCACACAGATGTCATGTGACAATGTTCCTGGCTAGATGCAAGCAAACATCTACTTACCCTAGGTAAGGAACTGGTGACACACAATAGTAAGGAAACCCTCCAAGTCTGACTTGATGAACCAATGAGTTTACTGAGTTTATTTGCAGGAATATAGGTAAGGATTTACTTACAGGCACAGAAATGACTCACAGACATCTGTTTCCCTAAACTCTCACCCAAAGTAGTGACAGTTTAAGAAATCTGGAAACCTAGAACACACCACATAATATTTAATTAGTTCAATAGTCTTTTCCAGGCAGATCATCTGGTGTGGTAGCTTGAATGTGATTAGCACTCATAATCTCATAGGGAATGGAATATTAGGAGGTGTGGCTTTGCTGAAGTAGGTATGGCCTTGTTGGAGAAAGTGTGTCACTGTGGGAACAGGCTTTGAGGTTTCCTATGCTCAGGATACTGCCCAGTGTCTCAATCAACTTCCTGTTGCCTGCAAGATGTAGGACTCTCAGTTACTCCTCCAGCACATCTGCCTGCATGCGCCCCATCATGTTGACAATGGACTGAACCTCTGAAACTATAAGCAAGCCCCCTCAGTTAAATGTTTTCCTTATAATAGTTGCCATGGTCATGCTGTCTCTTTATAGCAATAGAAACCCAAACTAAGACATCTGGTTTGAGTGTCTCCCAACTTCCTAGTCAGTTTCAGGAGCTTCCTGAAGCCTTTGAGTTATTTTCTGATCTTCCCTGTAGAACGTTATGTTTCACACATTAAGAACATCCAGTATCTTAAGGAACTTCCCTCAAAAATGGATGGCTTTATCTCAAGAAACTGTTAGATAACATGAGGCTCTCAGATAAATCTTTTGAGAGAAAATACTGCAGAGTTATACACACTACAGAACTAAGAGGAAAGATATTAAAGACTTAAAGATCAATTTCCTCCTTTTTCTTTTTTTTTCCATCCTGTCCCTTCTGTTCCCTTCCTTCCCAGTCTGTGTCCTTCCTTCCACTACCCCTTTTCCCATCCTTTTTAAACTTAGGTTTTAATGACTTATGTATTTTGGTTTTACATTAATGTTTGTCTGCATGTAGTTATATGTACCACATGTGTGCCTGGTGCCTATGCAAGTCAGAAGTGGACATCACTTCCTCTGGAACCAGAGTTACAGATAATTTGAAGCCACCACATAGGTTCTGAGAATTGAAACAAAGTTCTCTGCAAGAGCAGCAAATGTTCTTAAGTGATGAACCATCTCTCCAGTCTTCTCATCCTCTTTTTCTCTTCTTCCTTTGTATTTTCTTTCCTTCCTTAAGTTTTTATATGCCAAAGAAATGAAAGAAACACAAGGAATACATATAAAAATGATCAACTAGTTACTCTTCCTTTATATTTAACGGAATGTTCTTGAAGTGAATGGATTTAATTTGCTCTTGAAAATGGCTTTTTTCTGAAAGAATTTTAGCATTTCATTTGATTTTAATGGTTATTCATATATTTGTAGCCCCAACTTCCAAGTGACTTGCAAAATGATTATTTCTTCTGCTAACTACCATTTAGTACATAGTACCAAAGTTTAAGAATGCTTAAACTGTGTTATATGCAAACAATTAAACTTGCCTCAACATATTTCTGGACATAGAAAAGAGGGAGCTCTGCTCTTCCCAGGTAACATCAAACAGCTTAATTTTTTCTCTTGCGTATAGGGCTTCCATGTGAGATTGTTATATGATGAAATGACCTCTAACCAAAAGAACTTCCAAGGACACAATGCAAACATATTATTATGCAAAAGAAATAATGTTTTTTGGGTTTTTTTGAGACAGGGTCAAAAGAAAAATTTTAAAGCCAAAAGAAATACCACATCAAAAATATAAGATTTCCTAGTTAAGGAAAAATATACTTGGAGAAAATTTGTAAAAATTCTTAATGAAAATTTTGTGTTATACCTCTAGAGCTATTAATCGCAGGCTTAAGGAACCACAAGTGTTGCCACTTCTAGCAACCACTGTCTAATCACTTTACAAATGATTGTCATATGAGGTAACCCATGTTGATGAAATGCCTTTAAAGACAAAACTCCGGGTTTTAAAAATAAACTCAACCTGTAGTCTCTACCACTACATTTAATTGTTGACACCTAAGAGTATATATTGCCTTAGCTAATGGCCAGTGTGACAGAGCAGAGGAATAAGACGGGAGAAAGAAGAAGATAGTGGATTCTTTAATATATATGGTTCAAGTCTAAAAATGTGTGGATTTGGAGAGGGCAACCTACAATATAAAGTCAGTAGGTTGTCTCTTTTTGAATGGGTTTGGAATCTAGACAGCACTAATGGAAGGATGCCCATAGGCTGGCAACTTCATTTAATAAGGGTGTTCATTTCACAATGTGCAGTTTCCCTGACAGTGGGCAGTGAAAACCACAGCTATGCATACACCAAAATTGATTCAGGTGGTACATGTGCAATGGAAATTAAAAAAAAAAATGCTGTAGGCCATGCAAGTATCTTTTGTTTGGAAATTTTTGTATTGCTACTATTAACTTTCATTCTGGGCAAAATACATATAAAATAGGTACCCTTATTAAATGAAGTGGCCAGGCTACAAGCATCCTTCAGTTAGTGCTATCTAGACTCCAAACCCTCCTACAAGTAGACTCTCTTTTCCAAGACAACAGATTAGCTTATACTGAAGTTTGCCTTTCTCAGTTCAACAGGCCTTGCACCTCACTCTGTAACAGCAGGCATATGAGTGTCCAGGGAGCCTCTACTGCAGCCACACTCAGGTGAAAATCCTGCAGTTTCAGGCAAAGTGTCTGTTCTCCAGAAACTGACATTGATTTGCCAATCTTGATGTATTTTTCACTGCGTTTGATTGGTTGGTTTATTTTATTTTTGCTGTTGTTGCAGCAGCTGCTGCTGCTGCTGCTGCTGCTGCTGGTTTTTGCTAAGTTCTTGGAGATATTCCTTCTAAGATCCTTCCCTTCTTCTTTGCCTGTGATGATAAAACAACAGAAAAAGGTTTGCAGATTTTCACTGGGTATTTTTCTCTATTTTGCCTTTTTATACCTCAAACAAACAAACAAAAAGGCTTTGTTATTTCCTGAACTGCCATTTCCAAAAAGCTGGTCTAGTAGTCCAAACTCTCTCACAAGCTTTATTATTTTCTTTCTGCTGTTGATTGCATCTGCAATGTGTAATATACAACACAGTAAAATGTCTTTCCTAATTTACCTCCTAAGCTTGAGTGAACACAAGCAATACAACTACAACCAACAACATTACATGAACACAGTTATCTTCACTTTCATTCTCCACTTTTATACAAACTTCCCATCTGCACACTTAATGCCTACCATGGAAAGGGTACAACATTGTGCTTTGCCTCTTGTTTTTATCATGTGGTCCTCCCATTTCCCCTGTCTAATTATCTTACAGCCTACATATGACTTGATGAATGAACATACTGTAATTTTATCAACAATTTCCTTATTATCAGACTTTCAGATGGACAGCAAAAGATTATCCCTTCCTTTATTTGAATGTTAATTTAATGTAAATTCTCAAATGTAGATTTTATGGAGACAAATGGCAAAAACATTTTGTTCTTAATAGAATCTAATTAAAATACAAAATGATGGCTGCAAATTCAACTGACACTAAGAACTTGAGGGTTCTTAGTTCCACTAAAAACTAATTTTACCATAATGTAGTAAATATGCATTGCAATTTGATTATATTTGCATAAACAGACTGTTTCATGGGTATATGTTATTATATTCACTAACATATTCAAAGCATGATGCCTTTTTATTAATAGCTATTTAGTCAAACCTCCATAAATGTATATGATATACTTTTTACCATATTCTTCTTCTTATGCTTCTCCATCCTCCCTTTTCCAGAATTTACTTTCTTGTTGCTGACCTTTGTCTCTCAAGACTGTCTTACTTCCACATTTATGTCATATACATACAATTGCATTTTTGTATCTGTATGAGAGAAAACAGTTATTTGTTATTCTGAAATTTGATTCATATGATTACCTACAGTTGCATACATTTCCTGCAAAAGACATAAAAGGCAGAATGAAAATGGTCCACTGTGTATGTACACCTAATTTGTTTTTCCATTCCTGTGTTGGATACCTACATCTATTCGATCATTTAGCTACTCTTTGTGGTACCGTGATCAACATTCATCCCATGATGTGTTGACTTGATGTCCTTTGGGGCAACGCCCAGGAGTAGCATATTTGAGTCATTCAGAAGATCTATTGTTAGTATTTTAAAAAGAAAACTAACTTATTTTCATAGTGACTAGACTAGCTTACATTTCCATGAGCAATGTGTAAGGGTTCTCTTTTGTCCACATCCTTGATAACATCTGTTGCAGTAGAATATTAAAAGGTGTGTTATGGTGATATTTTATTTGTACTGAAATATGATTTTATTTGTATGTTAATAAATAAAGTTGCCTGGGGGGTCAGAGCTAATAGCAAGCCATAGCAGAAGGTGGGCGTTGGTGGCACATGCCTTTAATCCCAGCTCTTGGAGGGCAGAGCTAGGCGGATCTCTGTGTGTTCAAGGATACAGCCAGCATGGAGACACACACCTTTAATCTCAATACCAACCATAGAAGATCTGGAGGTCTGTACAGACAGGCAGTGAAGAGGCAGTCATGTGGTTGGGTTTACAACCAATGAGAAGGCAGAACAGAAAGTCTTTATAAAGACAAACACACAGGAAGTAGTTCTCTTGGCTGAAAAGGATAGCTGCAGCAGTGAAGGGTAAGGTTTTTAGCTCTTAGCTCTGACCTCTTGGGCTTTCAGCTTTGCATTGGCTCTGTGTTTCTTATTTAATAAGACGGTTACTTCTACAGTGTGTTACTTTTGTTTATGTTGTATTTGTTTAACTCTGTGAAGCTATGTTATTGTGCCTGTGTAAAACACCTGATGGTTTAATAAAGAACTGGCCAATAGCAAGGCAAGAGAAAGGATAGACAGGGCTGGCAGGCAGAGAGTATATATAGAAGGAGAAAACTGGAAGGAGGGATCTAAGATCTAGTAGCCAGAGAAGGAGGAGGGATCTAGGAGCCAGCCACCCAGCTACACAGCAAGCCACAGTGTAAGATTAAGATTTATAGAAGTTAGAGACAGGGAAAAGCCCAGAGGTAAAATGTTGATGGGATTAAGTAAAGCTGGCATTGGCAATTAAGAATAAGCCTCCATGTGTGATTTATTTGGTAGTTGAGCATTGGGCCCCCCAAGAAAAGAATAAAAACAAACAACATTTTGTTATTATTTATTTTCTTGATGAGTATCATTCTGACTGAGCAAAGATGGAATCTCAAGGCAGTTTTGACTTCACTGGTGTCTACTGAGCTTGTTGCATTTATTTATTTGTTTATTTTATTTATTTTTATTTATTTTTTGTGAGGTCACATAGAGGCTACAGCATACATATAGAGTTCATAGGAAATTTTTATGGAAGTCAGTTCTGTTCTGTTCTTCTACCATGTGGATCCTGAGGATTGAACTTAGTTTAATCCGTTAGCCTTGGCAGCAACTGTTTTTACTAACTAAATCCTTTTTATCAATGCATTTTTCCTTTTTTTAAAAGAACTTTTATTATGTATCTAATTAGTGCATTTGTAGCTGGAGAATTTCTTTCCAGCTCTGCCAAGTCCAGCCAGCCCCGGAGCCCACTTATAAAATAAACACACAGACTCTTACATTATTTAAACTGCTTGGCCATTAGCTCAGGCCTATCATTGTCTAGCTTTTACTCTTATATTTAGCCCATTTCTATTAATCTATACTTTGCCACGTGGCTCGTGGCTTATCGGTACCTTACATCTTCCTTGTCCTGGCTGCGGCTCCAGATAGTCTCCTCTCTGCCTTCCTGTTTCCTCTTTTCTCCTCTCTATTAGTCCCGCCTATACTCCCTGCCTGGCCCCTGGCCAATCAGTGTTTATTTATACATAGCAATATCCACAGCATACATTTGTTGATTTTTTTTTTACTTTTTGTTTAGTTTTTAGAGTTCTTTATATACTCCAGATGCTAATCTTCTACCAGCTATATAGCTGGCAATGATCTCCTCCCATTTTTTAAGTTGTCTCTTCACTCAACTGTTTCCTTTGCAGTACAAAAGCATTTTAATTATGAGTTCCCATACGTCAATTGGTGACATCCTTACCTGAGCAACTAAAACCCCACTGAGAAAGTCATTGCTTGTGCTACCATCTGGAATATTTCCCCCAGCTAGTAATTAAATTTCCTCTAATAATTTAAAAGTTTTGGGTCTTAAGGTCTTTAAGGGATTTGATACAATTGTGATTGGTATTGTGTAGGCTAAGATACAGGGATGAATTTTCACTCTAGATACTCATTTTTCTCATACCACCTGTTGAAGGAGCCATCTTTCTGTCATTGTGTATTATAGCTAGCATCTTTGTAAGAAAATAAGTAAATAAATCTAGGGACTGCAATCATATAAGTTCATATCTGAGCTTTGTTTTCCATTCCATTCATCTACATATCTGTTTTTGTTATTATGGTTTTGCAGTATACTTTGTAATCAGGTATTGCTGTGGGATGGTCTGTATGCCAAATTGTTCTGATTGATCAATAAATAAAGCACTGATTGGCCAGTGGCTAGGCAGAAAGTATAGGCGGGACTAACAGAGAAGAGAAAAGAAAGAACAGGAAGGCGGAAGGAGTCACTGCCAGCCGCCACCGTGACAAGCAGCATGTGAAGATGCCGGTAAGCCACAAGCCATGTGGCAAGGTATACATTTATGGAAATGGATTAATTTAAGCTATAAGAACAGTTAGCAAGAAGCCTGCCATGGCCATACAGTTTGTAAGCAATATAAGTCTCTGTGTTTACTTGGTTGGGTCTGAGTGGCTATGAGACTGGCAGGTGACAAAGATTTGTCCTGACTGTGGGCAAGGCAGGAAAACTCTAGTTACAAGGTATGGCAATAGCTCTAGTGTAGTCTACAATGGGGCTTAGACTGGCCAGCAATCAGGGTCTTTCTTCTGTTTCATCAGAAATTCAGTGGCAAATGATGAAGACAGGATGTTGTTTTTTTCTAGTGCCTCCTTTTGTGAATGTCACTGTTCCCCTGGGTATGGCCTTTTTCCAGCTCTTTAAAATGTTCATGAATTCCAACTCTATAATGGGAAGTCAACATCCATCTCAAAATAATTCATTAATTGACTTGAGCAATACTCTCTTCAACCTAAACATCTCCCTTTTTGAACTATGACTATGTATCAGACCTGCAGGTCACAGGTCAGCTCTAGTTTTCCTTAGTCCTGACTAGTGTTCTTGCACTACATATCTAAAACTGAGTGATCTTGCCTTGTTTTTATCATATTTTTGAGGCTGTTAGTAGACAAAGAATGATTACCAGTCCAATGAAACTCTGACATCTTTCATCTTTAACCCCAATGTAGTAATATTATAAAATACCCAATTTCACTAAGAAACAATGTATTTATATCTTTTCAACATAAAATTTCTGATGCAAAAGCAATTAAGCTACTAATTCCCTTACTGATTTATTTAGTTATTTAAGTAGTATGAATTACCCAATATTGAAAAAGCTTAGGAAAAGAAATAGAAAATATATAATTTCTGTTCTAGTAATCAGCTCATTTGAAATATAAATAAATTTTACATAAAATTTGAAAAGTTGGTAAGATGATTCCTAAATAGTTAAAATCCTCAACTAACAATTCAGGATCTTCCAGACTTTGTTTGTTTTTTTGTTGTTTGTTTGTTTGTTTTTATTTGTTGTTGTTTTATGGGGGGGGGTCTTTTTCTTTTTCCTAGAAGGCATCCTAAAATTGGGTATTAGCAAAGGAAGGCATTGTGGTAAGCCCGTGACTTGGATCTTGTTGAAGATTTTTGTCAGCCAAGAAGCAGGAATTCCAGCACAGTTAGTATTTACTGTGAAGGGTGCCAGCATCGAGGAAATGTGACTTTTATATAAGAATATTTTCAAGTGAAAAAAATGTTAAAGTTAAAAGTAAACAAGAGAGGCTAAAAAGATTGTGCAGTGGTTAAGAGAACTGGCTTCCCTTCCAGAGGACCTGCGTTCAATTCCCTATACCCATATGGCAGTTCACAACTGACTGTAACTCCAGATCCTAGGGATCTGACTTACTCTTCTATCTTCTGCCAGCACCAGGCAGGCATGTGGTACACAGACATACATGCAAACAAAATGTAGTGGGTAGTCATTCCAGCTTGGATCTGGAAGCTCCAACCCCCATTGAGACTCTGGCAACTGTCACGCCTACGAGGCGGGGCGAGGGGAGGTGCTGGAAACCTGAGAGCTGGAGGGGCAAGCGCTCGCTCGGGGCGCGCTCTCTGCGCCTGGACCCTGGACAGTGGAGATTGATTGTGCAGAGCTCCAGAGAACACCGCTGGATTGCTAGACGCCTTCCCCAGACCCCCGCGACCTATCCATTCTTTCATTTGT